CTTTGACTGGGCTAATCTAAGCATTCAAATACGCTTTGATCTGAAGCAATTTTATTGTATCTTTGGCTGTACATTTAGCTTTATAGTCTTGCTAGAAGTTGAACAGTTTTTCCCTTCCATATCTACTTCCAGTATCAGTTCTATCCATCCGCCCATCAACTCTGAAAACTTCCCTTTAAATGCTGGAGACAGCACCCCTCTCCCCGATTCTGCTGCCTCCAGGTTTCACTGGGGTGTTAAGTTTCACACAAATTTGAAGGTAGACCAAGAAATATTTGTTTCATCCGACCACAGAACCTTCTTCCACATCTCTGCAGCTCCTCCAGAGTTACAGTGAGTCTCTTTGCTGCCTCTCTGATAAATGCTCTATTTCTTGGCAGTTTTGCAGTCGTATCAAACTTTTTCTACAACCAGTCCACTTTAGTTGGTTTCCTCACTCTGTGCTTTTTATTAAGTCATATTCTCTAACAAACATCTGAGGCCTTCATAGCATAGTTAGATATGCTAACAGTAAATGACACACAGGTGAGCTTCACTAATTAGGTGACTGAAGACAGTTGGTTTCCCTGGATTTTATTTGAGGACATAATAAGGGAGGCAGAACACAAATGCATGGATCTTGAATTTTCTTCAACTTTTGGCCTATTGTAAAGGATTTTGATGTCTGTGGTTTTAAGGTGACAAAATGTGGAACACTGCTACAGCGATACACATAATGTCATCATCGAGAGCACAAAAACGTACCTGATGTGTGTGTTGTGTCGAAGGGATTTATTTTTTTTGTTAATTTCCATGTTTTCACCCGCGGGGATCATTAAAGTTTCATGCCGATCTTATCTTTTGGAGGCATAATCTCAAAATCTGTTTGAGTACGTTCTAACGGGCTTTTCCGCTGATGCAGTAATCTGTGTCTAATTTATTTATTTATTTTAAATTTCATTTGAAATCACGTTGCCACTTTGAGGTTGCTCGGCGTCGGCTTGGGCAGGGCCAACATGTCGGCTGGTGAAATTCGCTGCTCAGAGCCGCTTCTGTATTTACAGTAAAATTATTAGCAAAGATAAAAAAGGCAAAGTCAAAACTTAGAAACAGAGACAGATACATTTGACTGTCGCCCCACCAACCTCTTCCTCCCCCCCACCCGTCCACTGTGTCATCGCCTTAAGCTGCCAAGAGAGTGTATTAGGGTGAATTCATGAGGGTCCTCTGTAATAGGCTGGCACAGGCGCAGGCACAGCCTGTGGAACCTTGCAGGCTGCTGAGGCTGGTCTTGGCATCGCTCTTGGCAGCTATGTGGTTCTGTGCTTCGTCTCTCACACTGCACATTCTCTCTGAAAAGTAAAAAAAAAAAAAAAATGCAAAAAAGCAAGTTTTAACTAGCTGGTCTTGCCACTCCTTTATAAATGAGGAAGCTCTTGGCATAAATAGATCTACATGTTCATTTGGTATATTAAGAGAGACACACAGTTAAAGAGTGTTCATTACAATTGTAAATTTCTGCCCTCAGGCCCTTCGCCCGGCGCTAGATTACATGAGGTCTATGCTCACGGACAGCGCCTGGCATCTGATTGAGGGTCCAGTGCAGCTAATTAATTTCATTAGAAAGTGAAGTCATCTTCTAGCAGGAATTAATATTTGGAGCGTCATGTTGCTAATTTATTTCCAGATTTAATTAGCTCAGAGAAGAAATGTTGCTTGGGCAAGAGGACTTTTTAATTATCAGCTTGGATAAATTTGAAAATGTTGATGCCTAAGGGTTGAGTTAATTAAAACCTGCATTATTTTAACTTTAATTAGCTCCCATCTTTGTTTTTCTTCACCATATGGCCATGTCCTGTAGTCAAATTTAGTTAATTAAGCTAATTAAGCTAATCATTTTAATTACTCAAGACAATGTGATTGGATAGGGGATGACTACAAGTTTATGGCCAAGTACTTGTTTTTCATTAAGTTGAAGGGACAGAGTTATTTCTGATTGCAGTTGGCAAGCATAGCCGAGTACTTTGAGAATGTGACAGCCTCTGCGATATTAAGGCTGAAGTCTAATTGCATTCCTGAATATTAAAGAAGGCAAAATATTATCACCAGCACGGCTCCAGATAAGGGGAAATGGTTTGGTACACCATTTTTATAAGATGCACCGATCAAAATTGTACTGCTGATTTCCGTCTTGTAAAGCGTTGATACTGATGGTAACCTGGTCCAATTGCACAAGAAGATGCAGAAACACAGTAAAACAAAAATCCTTATTTTTTTCTAGCTTTCCTGACTGTGATAAATCATTAATAATAGAAATGGCAACATGCAGTGTGTTTGAAAGTAAGCAGTCTTTAAATTCTAATACTAGCAATCAGCACAGCTAGCATTATTATATCTTATTGATCCTTTACTATGTCTATCATGTTGAAGTATTTGAGACGGGCATATTGAACAGAACGACTGAATTCATGCCACAGGATTTATACCGCAGTAGCTGCGTTTCCATTGACCATATAATTGCGCAATTTGACATTTTGAACATAAATTGGCTTAATGGAAACACTACAATTTCAAAACAACAAAAAAAACCTTTTGTTTTCCAATAAAAGGTTTTGGCACAAGAATGAGGTGGACTTTTGGCTGTATTGAAATTAGTTAATGTTGCAAAATTGCAATGGAAATAGTTTTTTTGCATCATATGACACATGGTGAACAACCAGATGTTGCCAGTGGTGCAAACCACGAAGAAGATAACAGGAAATGATAAGACAATGGTGCGGCATATTTTTTTAATGATTTTTATTGTGTTATTTATTTAATGGCAACACTGTATTTTCTTATTTTTTATTTTTTTACATTGGGGTAATATAGCCCAAGTTTTCCACACATCTGTGGTGGAAACACTGCTTATGGCATAATCCTTCACACCGGAGCAGACACTGACAATTTTTACAGTGAAATTAACTAAATAAAAGTGATTCAAGGCTACCAGACGTCAGTTTTTGACTAGCTTTAAAGGACTTGACGCACATACGTGTTGTTTTGACGTCAGTCATGGCGGAGCGGATCACTTTCTGAAAGAAAAGGGCCAAATAATGTAGGTACTTAGCTCTTCGAATTCCAAAAGGCTGCCAACATTTCTAAATCCAGAATGTTCCTGACTAGAAAATGAAAAAGAGAAAACAGAACAACTTTGCTGTTCTTTGTTTAACCTTCCTGTTACAGAGTGAAAGTTTTGCTCTTTCTCAGTGAACCACAGACATGTCATGACATGCCATAAAGGGAACTTTCCATAGAAAGCTAAGTAGATTCTTACACCTCTGTGCCTTCTCTGACTTCCCACTGAGGGTAAAAATAGCTAACATTTTTTTTGCTTTTCACATGGTGACAGCTTCCACACAGAAGAGTGTTGCTGTCACTTGACCTTTTGTGTTTTTTTGTTGGGAAAAGATCAACTTAGAAATCTTCCAAATCCGGTTACCAGCTGATCTCTCTGCTCAAACCAACTAATGTGAACTTTTCTTTGTGTTTTAATTAGTTTGAGGCTAAAAATAGCTAAAATTTTAGCTATTTTTTTGGTTTTCACACAGTGACAATTGCTACACAGAAGATTATTGCTGTCAGTTGACCCATTGTTACTTGTCAGAAAAAGATCAACCTAAAAAAATCATCCAAATCCACTTACCAGCTGATTTCTTCATGCATCAGTAAGGCTTCTATGTTTTTACTGACCATTGTGGACTCTTTGTGACATTTTAGGGAGCTTGGAGTCAGAAGGAATGTTTACTACCACAAGTGGGGAGGGAAAAAAATTGAAGGGTCTAATAATCAGCAGACAGTGCATGTAATTTCTTCTGACCACAGCAGGCCAGAAAACAGAAATTGTAATTGGGTAACAGGGTGTGTGCTTGCTGGTGAGACGGGACCCTGCCCTTCCTGTCTCTGACCCCAGAGAGAGCAGTAGCTGGGGTGGGGCGTTGGTTCTGTGTGAGCCGCTAGCAGCTGTGCGTCAGTCTGGACACAGGCTGGGCCCATCCAGAAGCCAGTCGTAGCTGACAGATGCAGAAGCTAAGCCCAATAATGAAATAATACTGGGAGACATCATGTCCATGGTTTCCATCATTGTTAAAAGATTTTGGTACTGAGTACCCCCACTTAGGTAATTTGTTTCCATGTATAATCCTATTGCTCACTATTAAATTAAACCAACTGGTCATTTCAGTTTGGAACCTATAAATAAACTGGTTGCTATGTGCTTGGGCAGTATGTGGGACATCTCATCTGATTAGAGGGGGAAGCACTTAATAATTTGTACTGCAAAAAAAAAAGGTGACCTTCAGTGTTAGGTGACCTCAGTGGTCTGCCACACATATGGCCCTGTAATATTACTAATGTCTGTTCCTAATGTATTTTTTTTTTTACAATCCAAATCCAAGGACCACTCTCCGCAAATTGTTTGGGACAAATGTCGATGTGTGGTGAGATGGCAGACTGAGCCATATCAGAGCTGTATGTGTGGTTCAGAGTGGTAATGTTCTGGGCCGCGGCTGAGAGATCAGAGCACCCCTCTCTGCTTTTATCACAGCGAAGCCAGGTCGTCATCCACATAGAGGGGAGCGACGCCCCCCGCTCTTCTCACAGTCGCGCTGTTTGGAAACAGAATTAGTCATCACAGCCTTCAGAAACCCTCACACTTGTTTTTTAACCAAATGTGAATATTTCAGGTCACAAGTCAGTTTTTGACCAAGTGTACCTGTGCACTGTAAAAAAAAAACGGCCTTAATTTACAGTAAAAAACTGGCAACCAAAACTGACAGTATTTTCCGTATTTTTAAAATGCTGTATTTTACCGTTTTTTTAAGAATACGGTAAAATTCTTGCAACCAAAACTGCCAGTATTTTACCGTATTTCCCAATATACAGTAAAATACCATATTTCCTAAAATATAGTAAAATAAAAAATTTAAATGTGGTTTTGCCGTAGTAAATATGGTCATACTGCTTGAGGCATAATATCTACATAAGTGAAAAACACGGCCAGACTGTATGATATATTGACATTTTATTGTAAAAAAAAAACAAACAAAAAAACTTTATGGTAAATTACCGGTCGCTGTTCTTAACAGAATGTTACCATAAAAATTACAGTACAACACACAAGGAAGTGTAACTTGTCAGCATTTCTATACAGAAAGTTATAAAGAAAATAAATACAAATTAAATAAAAATACAGATTACGAGTAATCAACTTAAAGAAACAATTGCTATTTAAGAATTCAGTTAAAAAAAGAACAGATTCTGTTTTCTGTCCAGTTTCCTCACGGTATTACTGAGATCTGGAAAACAAAACAAACAAACAAAACAAAAAAAAAAAGCATGCATCCATATAAGAGATAACCTATTGTAGAAGAAAAATCGGTGATAGAAGGATTCTTGTTCTGGGTTGAGAGTAACAAGTCACTGAGTTCAGACTTTGTTCAGGATGGTGTGCGTCATGGTTATGGTCTTCCCAGTCACAGGTTGAGATTGAGACTCACATGTTGTCAATCAGGTGTTTCCTCTCTGCTGGAAAACAAACAAAGCAAAAGTTAGAAAGATGCACTACATGAACATCATATAAATTCAGCATTCGCTTAAATGTTTGTTTCACCTTTGTTGACTTGCATATGGAGACTTCAACCAGGCGGTGTGATCATTTCTGACTGAAAAGTCAGTAGTTTGTTTGTTGTCGACAGGTGTGATCCTCTCTGCAAACCAGACAAAATACACAAACAAAAAACATAAATAAAAATAAGACATGTTGTTTCAGGGAATTTTCTATCTTCATCCTTCCATCCTTTCTTTTGGGAGAAACATTTTTCTCTTTACAATTTTTTACTTTTTGATCAGTAATTCAGGATAGATGACACAAGAACAACAACTCAATGCAGAAAGTCAAACAGAAAAAATCCCCAAAAATTCAAAAACAAAGGGTTGATAAATTAAAAAGTGAACAGCCCTTATTTGGTGTGTATATCACCATCAGTTGTTTAGATTTGAGATTTATGACTTGTTATAATTCCATGTTCATGAGAAGTCATTTCCTCATGAAAACATGTTTGCGACAACCTCGGATCTCCATATCTCCATGGCAACCATTCAGTAGTGCTTCAGTGCTTCCTCATGCAACACGCCGCCCATTTATACAAAGCTCCGTCTTGGAGCAGCAGTTCCCTGCTGAGCGCCCACCCCACAGGGTACCCCTCCCCATCAGAGTAAATATAAGTTTGTCAAACCTGGGTCCATTACATGCATCTGACCTCCTAGGCCATGAGCTCAGTTATAAAATACCAGGCCTTGCCAGTAGGTGGCCCTTTACAAATGAAACTGAATTATAAACGCCAAATAACGTGGAAAATATTGTACAAATCAGGACATGAAATAAAGTATTTCTATGGATGTTTTGATGGTGCCTGGAGCCGTTTTTTCTGTGTTGTCTGGATTTAATTCCACAGATGTGTTGCATTTTATGAATGAAATGTACATGTCGATCAAGGATTTTTTTGTTTGGCAAGAGTGCCTTTGGTTATTTCTTCTTTTTGCAAATGTATGTCCCCAAACAGAGAGAACCCTTGTAACACGTTAAACAATCTTGTGTCCAAATTTCAATACACAACTAGACTTTAAAAGTTGCAAACATAACTGTTTTAGGCAATTTATGAAATAGATACTCACCATTTATCTGAGTCTCATGAAGGCCAATAAGTTGTCTTCAACCATTTATGTAAGTTACAATTCCTGCAAGCTAGCAGAAACAAAGCTGTAAATGTGTACACGCTTCATACAGGCAAACAAATAGTTTTAAGACAATTTATGCTATGTTAGTTTTTCTCAGTCACTTTTGGTGCATTTCTCAAGTCATTGTTGGCATTTACAAAACAGTAAGCACATTTCTCAAAACAATTTGTAGAAACAGCAAAAAATAGCATTTGTTTGCTTGCAAAATCCTTAGTTCAGCTCTCAAAATTCTGTCAGTTAACATATCAGTGACTCCAAATAATAAGTTATAGTTTCTCTATGTACAGATAAGACAGTCAAATTGATTAGTCATGGGAAGAGACTACAAAATTCACATTTACGCTTTTGCTGTAATTTATTGATGGACCATGGAGATTCAGAAAGGAAAAGACAAATGCAGAGAACAAAAAAAGGAGAAAAGAAACCATAGGACAATTTCCTCAAGGAAAACTGTACAGTGCTGTAGAAATTACATTACATTTTAATTTTCATCGTCATGCTGACAAAAGTTCCTCAGTGGGGTTAAGGAATAAACAGCAGGGTGGGAGAACCGTCATCAGCATCGTGTTGTGGGTCACAAACCATATCCTGATGTTGGACTGATGGAAACTGGCAGATGTCCTCAGCCTCTTCTGACTCTTCTTCTGCTTTCCTCCCAACTATTTCCTCCTCAGCCTCACTCCTCTTCTTCTCTCTGGCTGTTCACTCTGTCCAGATACTTGTTCATCAGTTCTCAGAAATGTAACATTGTGTTGTGTTCTGACTATATAGACCATATTGTTGCCAACTGATGGTTCACAGATGCACCTTCAATCTGCTTCAGAAAACTGGTTGATTGTTGGTTGAGCTAATGGTTCATACATTGACCTGTTGGAGAAACTCAGGACTCACTTGGGAGCAATTTACCAATTCAGGACAGATTTTTTAAAAAAAAATCGAATATAAATTAATTAAATTATGATTGACATTATGACATCTTCAAGACTTATGCATGTTAAGAGTTACACAATGAACTTATGCTCTTTTGGAAGTTGAGAATTCAACAGAGACATGTTTAACACATTTTGATCAACATGATTAAAGCAAATTACAACGGGGAAAAGCAGACAAGTGCACATAATCAATTGCATGATGTGCAAAAGCAAAACCTGCAAAAGGAATGAGAAACTAATTTTTTGATGTGAAGAAGTGACACAGTAATTTGAAGATTGAATAGGTAGTTTTAAGAATTTAAATTCTGTTCTGAGAAATGCACCCAAACTGAGAAAAACTGAAAATGTTTTATATTTAAATGTCCTTATCTTAAAACCCTTCAACTGTCATGGACCCAGTGACTTTAGTGCAAGTATTTTGGGGGTGAGAGTCAAGAGGTCAAAGGAAAATATTAAATATTAGCTCTGATGCCAAGCTTTATACTTCCAAGTATTACCAAAGTATTGAAACAAAAGTTAACGTGTTCTTCACAGATTTAACTTGCATGCATGAACATTTCACACTGAAGTAATTCAAATTAATTACTGAACCAAACTTGAAAAAGTTGCTTCTGCCATTAACAATAACTTTAAGCACATGCAGTCTAAAGTAGACCAGAAATATAAATAAATCTATGCAGTCGTTCCTACAGAAACATTAATGGAAGTGTTGCGTCTGGGAAAATTAAATATTCCATACAGCAAAAATGTCTAGCTGCAGTGCATGTATATAAACAGCAGGGCTCAGACATTACACATTTCTTTATCAGTTGGTTAAAGTTAACTAACTTCAGTTAAAACCGTGAAAGGGGCTCACCTGTGAAGCAGAGATGTGTTTCCTTCTCCTCCTCCTGAATGCACAAAAACAGCAGAAACTTGATTTCAAAGACAGGAGCAGCATCCTGACAAGGACCAGGCCTACTGGGCTCTCAGCACCCTGAACTAGCACCTGCTAGTTAGCAGCCTTAGCTAGCACCTGCTAGTTAGCAGCCTTAGCTAGCGCTAGCGAACTGTGTTGAGTTCAGAATACCACAGTATCCTGAGCCACGCTCAACTACAGGAACAGAGTTAAAAGAATCTTGCTGCTGATGCTGAAGGATCAAGCAGCAATACAAACTAGATAGTTTTTTGTTTACATGACAAATAACAGTCTCCTTTTACTGTAAACCATGCTATTTATCACAATAACAAAATGGAAAAACTCTCTAGATTATTCTCTACTAATAGCACAATAGTTAAAACCAAGTGTGGGATTTGTGAAACTTCAATGAAGGGCGACTTCACAATTTTTATGCTTTTGGATAACACTAGAATTGTTCTTTACTGAAGTTTAACAAATCAGATAAAGGTTTCACAAATCCCACACTTGGTTTTAAATATTCTGATATGTGTTGAGAATAATCTAGTCCAGATTTGAAGAGTCTAGGTGTTGTAGTTTTTTAGCTGGAGTAAATTAAAGATGGTGATGGTAGTGAAAAATTAAGTGGAATCGCCCTTTAGCCGTTTCCAAATTGGAAGCTGCAATTGGAAACCAACTTCAGCTTCATCCAAGCAGGAGGGGCTAACATACAGTTCTCTTAATGTATGATCGGCATAAAATTGATCCCAAATACATAATTTAATCAAATATTTTCATAAATGATGGTGGCGTTGGCTGTAGGAATTTGCTTTGCAATCGGTGGGTTGCCAGATTGATGCCTTATCTACTGTTAAGATTTCAGTTTGGTCTATTAAAGGCATTATTAAGAAAAAAAACAAAATGTCATTCAGTTCTTTGTAAAAATTACTTTTGCAGTCTTGTTTACGGTTTTACATTGTAGATATAAATATCAGCAAAATTTTTAATTTTGGCTGATTTGTTAAGTTTAGGGTAATTAACTGCTGGCAATATTACAATATTTTTCTATGAACTTTACAATTACTTATATTTTTACAATATATTTCTATATTTTCTACATTTCATGACTGTCAAAATTACTTAGGATATATGTTTATTGAGTTATGATACTTCCACGTATTTTTTACGGTAGTATAATGCTTTGGATATTAAAGTCAGTAACTGTTGGTATTTTACCATTTTTTACCATAGATTTACTGATTTTTTTTTTTTTTTTT